AAAGTAAAACATTGACACGGACGACGACGACGGACAATCACTCATATGATAAGCTCCGCTCGACAAAGTCGACAGCGGAGCTAAAAAATGTACCAGGATGTTCGACCTTTGGAGTCATAACTACTGGATGTTGTCAAAAGAGCTAGAGACCCTCCTTAGGGTACTAATTTACCGATATGCAGTCTTACTCGTATGGGTCATGTAACTGTACCATTCCACCTATCCAATGTGTTATGTATAGTACATACTGTATATTTCAATAATCTAGCATTCAATTAAAGCTACCTTTGATTATTACTAATACAGCAGATATGGTAATGTAAAGACACCAACAAGCCACATATTTCAAATCATAGCAATACATACCCTGAGTTTCCTCTCCAGTAGTAAGTATCTGTACTGATAGTATTTGTGTCAATTGCAGTGGTGGGTGCTTGGCATGCTCACCTCCATCCAAACATATGTGCCTTAAAATAAGACGGTAAAAAAATACAATCAGAGAATTGGCAGTATCTTCAAAGCTGGCGGTAAAAGCTCAATTTTAGGTATCACTCTGCAAACATCTTGTCTCAAATTAAGCATCAAGTTTTTTAAAATGCATAGCAGTACAAATAACAATAATCCAATATGGATGTATATAATTCATATTTGTTTGATAAAATTAGTACGCTAATAATAACTACAAGTCTTACCTATGGTCCTGTGTAAGCTTACATAAAAATAACTCTTTGTCATTCTCGTCATTATCATCACAAATCAGAAAATTACCACCTACATGTATAGCAAACATTATATTGCACTTAAAAACAAGACTTGTACAAATAGTCTGTGACACAACCCCACCACCACTGCTACACAAAGGCCCAGAACGGATAATTTTTAATAACATATATTTTTCATTTAACACATTTACAAATACAACCTGCAAAAAAAGTAACTTTGTTATACTGTAAATGTATTAATTAGTTAATTAATTTCACTATTTATGCTAATGAGTGAAATCAGCTAAATCATATTTTCAAAATTCCTTGAATCAGTTATTTACTTGTGTATGCAAACACACCATAATGTAAAGCATGTGTCATGAAATATATTAGGAAAGTGAATATATGCATGAGCATCAATTTACCATATTTGTCGAGATTTCTATGACAACTGAATAAATAATAATTTTGAAATGTACTTTAAAAAAAGTTAAAAGGAATGATAATTAATAACCCATATGTGAGCAAAACAGTACACGCAAATAACCACTTTGCAATCAATTAAAGTAATCCAGCATCCAATGCATTAATCATGACATGTCTTCATTTAATTTAGAACTTACCATTCCAGAGTACTTTTAGCAGTTTATCATAGAATTCATTTTCTTTGCGTGTGACTGATGTACAACTAGCACACAATCTGATAGGATCTACAAAAGACATCCTTGGTAGTGGTATCTTGTTGTCACAGCAATCACTACAAAAACATTTACCACATCTACGACAATGGTGCTGAAAACAAACCAAAACAAGACATGGATCAGAAGTAGATTTTATTTCTGCATGAAAATAAAACCCTGACAACTCAGGGTTGTTGGACCACTATTTCTGGGAGTGAATAGGAGTTTATTTTTTCACTTGTGGAGAATTGAGCAATTTTTTTTTAAATAGTGGTAGTCATATTTCCCAATTCATCCTGATTATTATCTTCCTCTACATTTCATTTTTTCCTTCATTTTTTTCTAAAATTTGGCTGGATTTTGTTAACTTATACACATGTATGTATATGGTTTTTATTTAATACAATTTAATACATCCAAACGGGGACTAACAAAACTGAAATGAGTCAGCCATTTTGAATCAGAATGTGAAAACAACTATGTGTATACTATAATGTATAGTGTAGTTGTAATGTTTGATTGCATTTTAATGCAATCAGTCAATGTGGGTCAGAGACATGGCTCAAGAATAGCATTCATTAATAAAAACATGAAGACATGTGGATCAAGGACTGGGCAGGGTCCTGGTCCAAACACTTGATCCAAGACTGGGCAGGGTCCTGGTCCAAACACTTGATCCAAGACTGGGCAGGGTCCTGGTCCAAACACTTGGTCCAAGACTGGGCAGGGTCCTGGTCCAAACACTTGGTCCAAGACTGGACAGGGTCCTGGTCCAAACACTTGATCCAAGACTGGGCAGGGTCCTGGTCCAAACACTTGATCCAAGACTGGGCAGGGTCCTGGTCCAAACACTTGATCCAAGACTGGGCAGGGTCCTGGTCCAAACACTTGATCCAAGACTGGGCAGGGTCCTGGTCCAAACACTTGATCCAAGACTGGACAGGGTTCTAGTCCAAACACGTGATCTAAGAATGGGCAGGTTCCTGGTCCAAATACTTGATCCAAGACTGGGCAGGGGCTGGTCCAAACACTTGATCCAAGACTGGGTAGGGTCCTGGTCCAAACACTTGATCAAAGACTGAAAAGGATCCTGGTCCAATCACTTGATCCAGGACTGAAAAGGGTGGTCCTGGTCCAAGTTGCTTGATCCAGGACTGGGCAGCGTCC